TTTGTTTTTTTGCAGCCCTCATAAACTTAAACCTTGTTTATTTGGCTCATGTTAGCCTTTTAGTTTGACATGCTTGGTATAAGATACCAAAGAATAACATTTAATTTTTATTTCCATTTTTATGCTTCTGTGCCTAAGAAAACACCCTGTGAAGTCTCAGATTCTTCTTCTTCAAATAATGCGATTATCATAGTACAATTTGCTTTTTTTTCTCACAGAAATGATAGATAGCAAACTCACTTTTGGTTTAGGCTTATGGTATTGGTTGCATAGACTGGGTGACAGGACAGGTTAAAACCACATTCCCAATAAAGGGTTTATCTGAGATGTTGATATGCAGATTAAATAATTTCCTTGTAAAAGGATTTTATATTTATTTACTCATGCTAAAACTTTTATGCCAGGTGGATATTTCCAAATATGTCCTCTCTCTCTCTCTCTCTCTCTCTCTCTCTCTCTCTCTCTCTCTCTCTCTATATATATATATATATATATATATATATATATATATATATATTCCTTAAAATACTGCTCTGTTGCCGAAACCAGTTTGGCTCAGTGGTAGAGCGTCGGGCCTGCGGACTGAAGGGTCCAAGGTTCGATTCCAGTCATGGACATGTACCTTGGCTGCAGGCACATCCCCGGTAGGGGGTGTGCAAGAGGCAGCTGGTTGATGTTTCTCTCTCATTGACCTTTCTAGCTCTCTATCTCTCTCCCTTCCTCTCTGTAAAAAATCAATAAAATATATTTAAAAAAATACTGCTCTGTTATCTTCTTCCTTCTCCAAGCAAATGCATCACTTATACTTCTTTTCATAAAGAGATGAAAAGAAGTATTATAAAAGTGGCAAAACTAGAAAGCAAATTAGTTTTATGATTTCAGAGAATGAGCTGACTATTCATTTATTAGGATGTTTTCAGAGTACTTTAGAACTTTCAGAGGTAGAATAATGGTCCAATAGTGCTATCAGGTTTCCTTTATAGACAAAGTAAGCCATCTAATTGTGACAGACACAATTGTTTTTGATTTCGTGCCATGGATATCCATCACAGAAATAGAAGTGATTAATAGCATTTTGTCCACTAATCAAAAACATTTATAATGTATACCTGGAAAATATTCCAAAATAGAGGATAACATTAAAGTTTCAAAAAATTTCAACAACTGAAAAATCAATATCAGTTGAGGAAAGAAAGCCATAAAGGTACTTTTAAGAGAGATGGAAAATAAATTTTTAGATATTCATTAATTTTAAGGAGATAGTGGCAGAAAAAAAAAACTTTAAGAGAATTGATGGGAAATATTGTTTTCCATTTTAAAATGAATATTATTCCAGGAATTTACTTATCATGTATATGTTCAAAACATGTATAAGATTTTCTCAAATTAAACAGATTATTGTAAATGTTTTAAAAGAACTTCTCTATTCCCATTTACTTTCTGTCATCAAGCTAAAAATTCTAGAATAATGGTGGTAGTAATGCAGGGAGAGTACTATAGACTTAGAAAAAACAGTTGTACCCAAAATAGATTTTATGTTTTAGTAATTTCATCTTTTCTCTTATCATCTATCAACCATGAGATACAAGCAAAAGAAAGAAAAGAGGTGAGGTGCTAGAAATGGCCCTAAAGCAGACTTGCAAACAGATTAGCTTTGGGGAACATTCTTGCAAAAATTATCAGTCTAGAAAATATGCCTGATGAATATATGTTAAAAGGTTAACCAAAATGGAAATATCACTGTAGAGAGCACACTTTCACTCATTTATTACTTCAACTGTGTTTTTATTTATTCAATCAAAAGATTTGAGTTTTAGTAACTGGAAAGGCATGGGGGTTAAGCAAATAAGAAATAAAATCTGTCCCCATAGAGGAGAAGAAAATTAACAATTGTTGAGGGCAAACTATGGCCAGGCACTATACATCTTTATCAACTCTATGAGGTGAATATATTTTTTTTTTTATCATTTCTCTTTTTATATCTGAGGAAGCTGAACCTCATGGGTGTTAACTAGGTTGTTCTAAGTCACACAAATAGTAAGTGGCAGAGTTCAACTTCCAAAACACTTTGTCTCCAAAGTTCACTACACTATGGGCTTGTAATCTAGTGGGAAAGACAGAAACACGCACAAGTAGCTGCAACACAGATAAGAAACTGTGACAAATACCAGGAGAGAGGCACATGACACTTGCTCTGGGAGGAGAGAGAAGGAAGTTCTTCACTGGCTAGTCTCAAGGTCACTCTGGGAAGGCTTCACAGAGAAGGTGGCATTTGAGCTTGGTCTCGAATATATAAATGGGGGCAGGGGGAGGGGAGAATTTCAGGTAGAGACATAAGTGCATTGCAGGTTGAAGAAACAACTCATAGTATTGCGGGACTGGGGAAGATATGTCTCACGCTTGTTTTCATACTTGAGTTTGGAATTTTAGAATATTTGGCAGCATGCCTAAACAATGCCTTGGCCCGCAGTCATTACCACACAAGGAGGCACGTGGGCTCTCGAGTTAGGATGCAGGCTTTGAATCTAGGCTTTGCCACTTTCTAGTTGTGAGACCTTTGGAAAATCATTTAAGCTTTGTTTGGTTAAACAGGTATACACACCATGAGATTATTTTAAGGAGAATATGAGTAGATACATGTAAACTGCTTAGCACTGACTCCCTAAATTGGCTGTTAGGAATACTACATCCCACTAATACATTCAGTCATTGCAGGATTCTCTTGGACACTTTTTGCACCATGGCATTGTTGGAAAAGAACTGTACTGTACACAGTATTAAGTAGACTCTCCTATATACTCACCAGGCACAGTCTCAGCAACAATCTCTTTCTTTTCTGCTGGGTTGCTGTTTTGTTAGGCCTCTGCTACTCTCCAAAACATAATCTTCTATACTGCATTGCAAGACCCACTTGACTAAATGTACAATTTGGCAGATATACAGAATAATGTTTAGGTTTAGCAAAAATTACTCACCATTCTAGTAGCACATATGGAGAGTGGTATACAATGTGGCCTAGCCTGGTGGTTAAGAACCAACTGTAGAGAGTAGGTACATTAGGAGTGAGGGAGGGGTACAAGGTAAGGAAGATAGTGGCAGAAGTCAGTCAAGTCATGGTCAGATTGGAAAGGAACTGGAATGCCAGGTTGAAGGGATTGGTCTTGACCCTACAGTTATGGAGAAGATGGAAAAGAATGACAGTAGGTGCATGGGCTGAATTGTATCTCTCTCAAGTCCCGATGTTGAGCCTCTCCCCCATGCCCTCAGTGTAACTGTGCTTGGAGATAAGGCCTTTAGGAAGGTAATTAGATTAAGTGAAGTTATCAAGGTGGAACCCTAATGTGATAGGATGTGTCCTTATAAGAAGAGATACCAGAGCTCTCCCTCTGCCATGTGAGGACATAGCAAGAAGGTGGCCATCAATAAGCCAGGCAGAGAGGCTTTAGCAGAAACCCACCCTGAACTCACTTTGATCTCAGACTTCCAGCCTCTGGAACTGAGAAGATGAAGTTCTATTGTTTAAGCCACTCAGTTTGAGGTATTTTGTTAGGGCATCCCCAGCAGACCAACACAGTAGGAAATCAGCATAATTGGATTTGGGATTTAGGTAGATGACTAATGCAGTGAAGAGAATTGTTTTGCATAATTTTTGTCTGGTCAACTCTATACATTCTTTGAAACCCAACTGCTCTGAGACAAGTTTTTGATTCCTTAAGCTTGATTTTAATGTCCTTCAATATGTTCCCATAGTATTATGTGAATACATTTATCATAATGTATCATAAAATTCTTGGTTATTTCCCCACTACACTAGATTGAAAACTCCTTGAGATCAGGAACCACATTCTATCTTTGCATTCCCAGCATCTAGTTCTGTACTTGGCATAGAAGAGTATTTCAATAAATATCTGTGGAATTAATAATTCATAAGTTAATAGAAGAACCTGGGCAAGGAAACCAGTTCTAAGATACTAATATAATAGTCCATTAGCAGAATATCCACATGAAGCTTATACCATATTGTCTTAATTGTTTGTCAAAAGATGAACAACTGATAATAGTGTATCTTTAACATTTTATTTCAATCCCTTCCAAAATGATATTAAATGAAACTTTATCTACAAAGTGCTGAAGAAATACATTTTTAGTGATTTTTGCCTCAATTAAAAGGAGTCTTCTTCCCTCACTTTAAGTCCTAATATAAATATACTATACCTAATATCCTCGAGAGAAGAAAATGCTGACTGTCTAATTGCCTAATTTGTTTGGAGGAATCAGCAGTTGTCCACAAAGAGAATTAATGTGATCAGCAAACTCAAATGCATTGTTTTGTAATTTATGCAGAATTCCCGATAAGTCTTTCAGAGTTTGCCAATATGTGCAATGATTAAAGACATTAGGCCAAAACAAATCTTTTGTCTTTGCCTTTATAGTTCAGAAACAGTTACAGGAATGAAATTTATCCATTAACTAAATAAAGTATTTCTATAAATCACTGCATTAATTGCTGACTTAAGGGCTGTGCCCGCATCATGAAAAGCAAATAAAAGATGTTGCCAAAGAAGAGACTTGTCTAGTTGATTTGACAACATCAATGTGTTTAATTTCATCCTTTAGTGAAAATGGTGACAGACTCATTCCTTTGTTCATTTAATTTTGATCTATTAAGACAATCAATCACATTCAATTTTTCCTGATTTTATAATATTTCTGTTCTTAAAAACATTGTATATGGTTTGTGAAAATATGTGGATCCATTTTCCTCCATTTCCCTCTAATTCAGTTGTTCCTCTACATCCTTGGGCTTTTGTAGAGACTGAGAATAGGCAGTTTAATAAAATTTTTTAATCTTCAATTAAAATTCTAACAAAGATTTTCTGTTTGCTCAAGCAGACATACCAGATGTAGAAAAATTGTATATGCAGATGTTAAAAAAGAATAATTGGGATTATTTAGGAAGCTTAATGAAAATCAGATGACCTTCTGAAATGTTTACCTACCTTTTCCAGATACTTTTTTTTCTCCTCCATCTTTAGGGTTTCATCAATGGTATCTGTTTCCTCTAAAGAAAATAAAGTCATATTCAATCTGAAATACTTTTATCTTGATTTTACAATAATATTGATATAAAATTGCATAAATATTAAAAAGTAGTACATAGAGTAGGAAGGTAAATACAAATATGTACTGTATCTTAAAACTTCATAAACCAGATTCATATATAATTGGAGATGGACTTAATTAGCTATGGCTGCAGTACAACTCTAATTTTTAGAAGAGAAGTAAGCCTGAGTCCAAAGACAAGAAAAGGTCCCCATTTAAGATGTTATAAGAATAGAGGCATTTTTCTTTGAATGAATAGGATGGTTTCCGAGGCAGGGTATGCCAAAGGGTAAAGTTGTATCTTTGTATTTTGCATTTTCTTAATCTTGGAATCAGAATGTTGAAAGGCATAAAACTTGGTACTTACTGTTTTTCTCAAGGAGAAGAGACTGCAAGTAACTTTTCTCTAAAAATTACAAAGAATATAAATCATTAGAAAACAACAGCTTTACAGGTATTTAAGCTTTCTATACCTATAAAAATAGTTTCCATGTCTTCGGCCTTGCTAAGGTCTTACAGGCCAGGAACTTGGTTCTTAATGTTAACTTTGCCTTCAACTTTCACTAGGAATTTCATGTTTGAACTCAATTATATAAACAACTAAAAAAAAAAACTTTAATGATTTCAGAGAAGAAGGGAGAGGGAGAGAGGGAAACATCAATGATGAGAGAGAATCATCAATTGGCTGCCTCCTGCACACCCCCTACTGAGGATCCAGCCTGCAATCCAGGCATGTGGCCATGACTGGAATCCAACCTGGGACCCTTCAGTCCAAAGGCCAGTGTTCCATCCACTGAGTCAAACCAGTTAGGGCTAAATGACTATTCTTAATATCCTTTCAGCTAAGATAAAATAACATTTTCCCAGATGCTTCTATACTCTTTGGCCAAATATATGATATAGAGGATACTTTAAGATGTAATTTTAAGATATAACAAAGACACCCTGATTCTTTTGGGTAGAAGAATTGATAAGAAGCTTTAAGAACTATTTGTATAGAGTTTTAGAAATGTCAAATGAAAGATTCTTACTTTAGAATTAAATTTGATAGATGAATAAAATTGTGGTACATATATACAATGGGATATCAGCCATAAATAATGAAAATTGCCATTTGGGGCAACATGGATAGACCTTGAAAGTATGATGCTAAGTGAAATAAGTCTGACAGAGAAAGACGAATATGTATGACTTCACTTACACGTAGAATCTAAAGCACAAAATATGTGAACAAACAAAAGAGAAACAAACTCATAGATACGGAAAACTGATGATTGCCAAATGGGACGGGTATTAATTAGAGGATGGATGAAAAAGGTGAAGGGATTGGAAAGTACAAATAGCCAGTTATAAAAAGAGCCACAGGCTGTAAAGCACAGGGAATATAGTGAATAATGTTGTAATGATTATACAGGACGGTACTAGACTTGTGTTGGGGGGATCACTTTGTAAGTCATATAAATGTGCAATCACAACGCTGTACACCTGAAACTAATATGATATTGAATGCCAGCCATCATGGAAAAAAGAAAAAGCATTATGTTCAGCAGTTCCTCCGCGGAAGGGCTCTGGTATCTTCCATGTTGGCTGAGGTGGAGGCAGCTACTCACCAGTGACGCTGCTCTTGGAGGGCCTGGCCATCCGCAGGCGCTGACAGCTGCTGCCCAACAGCTGGGATTCCTTAGGAGGATACAGGGACGCCGTGACCCAAAATTGCTTGGCCAAGCTGGTGTCCTTTTCTGAGGAGCCAGTGAATACTAATAATCCATGGGGACAAGTGTCACAGGGCTTCTTTCCATGGCTGGGGCATATACTGCGCCTCGCTTCCATGGCAACTGAGGACGCTTGTCCAAGCTCCCAGGAACCCTCTCCCAGCCCCGCCTCTCAGAGAACCTTCAAGTTGGCAGCCACAGGCCAGGCCAGAAACCCTTCGTTTCCTCTGTAGATGTTGAGGTCCAGCGCACATGCCACGCCTGTAGTGACCACAGGCTTCGGGACCAGTCTGTGATGGAGTCCAGACGGGAGAGTCACATCAGCTGGGGGCGTGTCTTGTCCTGTTGGAGTCAGTGGGGAAGCACTTCAGCGCTCATGTGGTAGGTCAGCCAGAATTCTACCTGCCTCCCCTGTTCTTCACCTCCCGGTCCCCCAAAGATGTCCCAATGAAGCTTTCTATTCCTCAGCCACCGCCCCAATTCCCCCTTCCACGCCCATTGTCGCAGCTCAGCCTGGTATAGGCCAGCTTCCGTTGGAGAATTAAATAGGGCAGTTCCCATTCCATTGGGAGCTAGAGTTCTCCACTGGGCCAGTGGGTTCCCATGGATATAATTTTTGTTATAATTCTCTCCCCCTCCCCACCCTTATCCTTTAAGACAAATCTTAAGAAAGATGCTGGATTTACATGAACTGCATGTACTAATGGGTCCCGCTAAAGCCTGCCTAGACTGCCAAAGTGTGAATGACTATTTAAAGATGCCTGATGAGTGGACTCAGTCCTTTCATGGAAAATAAATTTGTTAGTCCTATGGAAACATTAACAAGTGCTTGTGAATAGCTTTCATGGGAGATTTTGTTAATCTAGGAACAGTTTAACCATTTCAGAGAGGAAAATTGTAATTACTGTGGCAGGAACTGAGATGACCCCCTATAAAGGCAACTTAGGAAAGGAACATGCGCTCATGACAATTTATGTCGGCATGGCACTTTATTCTTTCCAAACACGAATACAGTCTCATGGAAAAAATACTTCAAAAGTTGATAATCACACATCTACACAGTTACCCAATCTATCCCAAAGCTTTCTGGTTAAGAGCCTGATGAAATACTGAAACATTTTATATGAACACACACGTACATTTCATCACAAACATTATATATTTAGCAGCTAACATGTTGAGTTCTCTCTCGGCTGAGAGAACTGGCAATATTGCTGTGTCCCAATCCCAGTTCCTTCCCCCAGGAACGTTGATGTGCCCAAGGCGCCTCGCTTGGATGAATTCCCAAATCTTTTTACTTGGCCGTGTAGTTAGTGATTGGGTACTGTTAGCAATCAGCTAACTACACTGCCTAGCAACTAGACTCATAGAAAACAGGGTACTTGCAGTCTCAAGTTGGCGTCCCATGCTTTGCGACGGGCTAGCCATTGCTTCAGCTTTAGTTGGTGGGTGTGTGAATGTCCTACTAAGTAATGAAAAACCGGCAGGATTAATCATAGCTACACAGCATTAAACCATTAAATGTCGTTACATGGGGCGGGGTCCTCCCAGCAGTTTAAAAGTCTGCATCTTACAATTAAAGCCATCAAATCCCCCACATTTCGCTTTCCTTGCGTGGGATTGCACAGTCTTGCTTTACTCTTAGAAAGGGGAGTTGTTTAAGTGTACCTAGAAGCAGTGTCTTCCCCCCCGCCCCCCACGAATTCTCAGGGCTTTGCTGGCACTTGGACCACTCGCTGGCCCCGCAGCGCCAGGCCCATCACACGCTGACGCATCAGATCTCCGAGCGCCTGCAGCTCGCTGCGCTCCAGCTCCGGGGCGGGTCCTTTCCTCCGGCGGCGGCGATGCTGTGCCTTGTTTTGATGGCAGTGGAGTTAGTGATTGCCAGCACACAGCACAATCAGCTAATTACACTGCCTACAAACCGAGCACTGGCGCCCGCAGGCTGCAGCTCCAGACGGTCCGCAGCGCCCACGCGGTGTCCCTCGAGCCGGCGGCCCGCAATCGCCCCCCGCCCGCCTCGACCCCACACTTCACCAGGGAAGGTGTCCGCAGGGCCTGGGCGCGAAGCCCCGGCGGCGAGGCTCGCGGGACGACGCCCCCGGACCCTCCAGGAACCCCCACCCGGGACCCGAGCCGGCCCTCAGGCTGCGCTGTCCCGCAGGACTTGCTGCGCACACCTAGCGAGGCACGGCCAGCGGGCGGCGCTCCGGAGGGCACCCCGCACCCCGCACCTCCTGGGCCGGCACCCCCTTCCCCTCCCCCCCCCCCCCCCCAAACTCCAGGTGGCTCCCCGGGAGCGCCAGGGCGGCCGGCTTCACCTCTGCCGCTGCAGAGTCCAGCCTCCGCCGCCCCGCAGCCTCCCGCACCCCCCGGGGTCTCCCCTCCTGTCCTCCGCGCTTCCCCCTGCGGCTCCCACCGCCCTCACTCCCCGGCGGCCCGACGACCTTTCTGCAGTTCCCACCCCAAACCCTAGAGCCGGCTCTCTACCCCGTGCTTCCCGCAGCTCCAAACGGCCAAGTGACAGTGGCCGTGGCCGTGGCCGTGGCGCGCCAACCGCCCTTGGAACCCCGCGAGGAGGGGGGCGGGGCGGGCACGCGGGGCTGGTGGAGGAGGGGCCCGGGAGAGAGCGAAGGGAGCTGAGAAGGGGCCTGGAGGGAGGGAAGAGGCCAGGAGACCCAGGCACCTTTCCTTAGAAAGTTCCTCTACCCCATTAGGACTGGAGGGACTAAGAGCTCCTTCTCCCCTCCCCGTCCCTCCAAAACCTCAAGACCTTACTTTTCATGCCCATCCCCATTAAGGAAGACAGCTGGCCTGGGACTAAATGGAATGCTGACTTCTCCCAATGGAGATAGGCCTGGACCCTGAGTTTGAGGGTCTCATCTGCAGTCTGTATTCCCCTTCAAGGCTGGAGGGCGCTGGGGTGAGGTGGAAGGCTGATCTAGTCAAAAAAGGCAGCCAGGGAGCTTGTTTCTCAGAGCCAAGGATGGCCCTCAGGAGACCAAGGCCACAGTTTTATCCTCTCAAGGCCCACGAGAGGCAAAACCAAAACGAGTCCTACTTCCAGCACCTCTTTATTGAAATACCAGTATGTGTTTAGCCCCTAAAGTCATTGGTGGCAACAAACAAGTGAACCTAGTTACCTTTGGAGACAGTAGACCATCAGTCACTCACTGGGTAGAGATAGAAGGGAGAATTGTGACTGGTCAGGGGAGGTTCATGGAGCAGGTCCTTGAAATAAGACTAAATTTGGACATTCAGGGTGAGGGCTGTGAAGGCCAGAGAAACAATGTCTTTGACCAGTTCCATTTCCTTTTTTCCACAATTTCACATTTGATGACGTGATGTGTTTATGTGTGGATTTGGGGTAGATGGGGCCAAGAGGATGGACAGAGGGTTTCTGGTAGACCTCCATTATTAATTGTTCCGTTAGTCACTCCTCCTCCTTTTTCCTTCAATAAATAAAGCAGAAGAGGATAAAGAATATTCTCTGATTACTCACTGTGTGGAACTCAATTGGAAGTAGTTCCCCATCCCCTAATATAGTCTTCATGAACCCAACATAAGGCACTGGTTGTTGATCCTGAAAGCTTAGTTCTAAATTATTTTCCATCAAAGAAAGCTTCCCAGCTACAGACTGATTCCCGAAACCAGCAAATGGTCTCATAGGTGCCATCAATAACATGGAGAGCAGAGAAGGGAATCCTGTGAGATTTATCAACACACACCCCATATCCACACTATTAACACGCCGGAACTCCCCAAGGATAAGTTTAAGTTACAGTATTATCTTTGAATATGAAAGCATTTTTGCTAAATTCATTGTTTGTTCTGTGAACACCGCCAGTGAAGAGTAAGAAACCAAAGTGAAGTATACAATGTGCAGTACAGAAAACATGAATGTGAAAATCAACCTGTAAAGTTAAAAAGGCAAAACACAAGTCATTTACAACTCACTGTAATTTGTGTCCATCTCATTTTGGGGAGAGGCACAATATTGTAGAACACATTACATCATTCCTTATGCTCCTTTACAATGTACAATCAACAAGCCCTCCCAGGCAACACACTGAAATCAGAGCTCATTAACCTCTGAGCTCTCTAGAGATAACTGTAGAGCCACGTTTGTATTTTACAGTTAAATAGACATACATAAATAAAACCAGGAGCCGAATACCCTCCATTCCATTAGCAATATGCTGACTTTTAAGTCTTGATTAGGGCACAGTTACAAAAACAAATCTGTTCTTTCAAATGGTTAGTCATTTTTCCTAATGTAAGATTGTCTGCCTCTTCCTGATTGATGTCTGATGATTATTAGTTGCATCTTGCATGCCTTACCTGAGCTGGATTGCTCTCATCCAAGGCATGGGTTGCAGTAGATGCCTTGAGATTCAGATTTTTAAAACTCCTCTTCAAATATAATAAAAAACAGATATATAAAAGTCATCAAGATGCATTTTCTACTGAAATAAAATTTTAAAATGCCGTTTATCTTGTGGATAGTAGAACGAAAGCAGTTCAATAATGAGAAGAAGCTGTGTGGCCTGGCCCTGTGTGTGTCTGTTTTAAAGAATGCTTGTTCTCAGGATTGTTGTTGATGTGGCCTCAGTTACTAGAGAAACTCCACGGATCTCGTTCCCTTTATGGTTCATGTCTAGGCATGCCTGGAGACCAGGAGACCCACAATTTAATCTAAGTAAGAATGCTGAGGGTGGTTAAAATGCCCCAACAGAAAACTGTGTTTGCTTTCAACAGTACCAGGAAGGCACCTTTCACGGGAATTATTTACTGTTTTATTTAATTTCTGGGCTTTTGATGAATAGAAGAGATGGGGAAGGAGCACTAAGGAAAGGAGGTGAGATTAGTGATGAGAAGGAAATGAAGAAGAAGCTAGAAAACAAACACCTTTTCTTTTAGCTTGGGCAAATTTATATTGGCTACATTTAACACTCCTACATAAAAGACAGAGAAGTGATGAGGAGTTGGGTATAAACACATAAACACCATTGAAATTTTTCTATTTATTACAACTTTTGAAGCATGTTAGAAAGAAAGAAGAGAAGAATTAGATTGATTAGAAATGATTAGAGTTTATCAACCTCTTTTTAGATCTGT